GTTAGTCTGTAGAATTAATATGTATAGAGCTTTTGTAGCACCTTTCAGACTAACTGAAAAAAAGAAAAAACGAGGTTTGTAGTATGAGCTTTCGTAGACTTTAGTCTACTTCTTCAGATGCTTATAGTGGATTGAAAGCCAGGGACAGATAGGAGTGCAGGAGTTTAACTGAAGATAGCTGAAAAGGAATGTTAGTTGCTGTAGACCCAGTCAGCATGAGTAGAACCCATAGGCTCTACATGATACATAGTTTTCCAAAGGGCTCCCCACACATAGGTCCTTAGGAATGACATCCCATTGTTTGCACTTGTTGAGAAAGAAGACATCTGTCTACATGGTGGACATGTAGCACAATTCAAAATACACAATGTGGTGATACTTTTTCTGCCATTTGGTTAAGTTCATAAAGGTATCACCAGGATGTGTACTTTGGAATTTGTTGTATTTTGTCTCTAATAATGGAATTGATGTATAGTCTGCTCAATAGCGTGCAATTAAGAACTGTTGGTGGCCTTAAATACTATCAGGGTATCCAATCCCCCTTTTTAAAAGCCATCCAAGTTGGCAGTCATCACTACATTCTGTACTGAGGAAGTAGACTGCATGTCTATGAAAGCTCATGCTGCCAATTTCTTTCTGTTAGTCTCAAAGGTGCTACAAGATCTCTCTACACACTGATCACTATATGGAACACAGATTTTATGAAAGGTAGTAATGTGAAATGGTTATTTAAACTAAAGTTCCCTGAAATGGCAATCTTCTCATTCTTCTATACGACTTTTAAATATATATATGTTGGTTATTATCACTAACCGTTTCTTTCTCGATCTTCTGTGCAAAAAGTGCACGGGACTCTTCCTGATCCTGGGAGCTGGAACTTCGTCGATCATATTCTGTAAAATGTACAAAATCAGCTTATTGACTATCAATGGCAAAGAAGGCATAGATTCAAAATATTTGCTTTTTAAAAACTATCATCAAGTCTGACAAATTTGTTACAGATATTAATATATGGCAGTTTATGACAGTTTGCAGAGGAAGCTGAGAGGACTTTAGAAATAACACTGCTAAGTAAAAATCTCAGAAGAATGAGGCAACACATACTAGTAATATAAACTGTCAATGTGTTCTTTTGTCTTGGGTGCAACAGAGAAGCTGCCCACAGAAGCAATTCACCTAGTGTGATTTAGCAGTGCTCCATCTCTTCTATAGATGTATGTCAGTGCTGCACATGAAGCTACAAAGATTTCAGTGCCAAGCAGTTTTCTTATAAGAGCCACAATGCAACTGCTCTTGAGCACAATTCCCCTAAATACATAAATGTGTGTCTAGACCCCTCATGAAGCAAAATGGGTTGTCTCACTTTTAAAAGTGAGTGCTGGGGTCAGAAGGTGTAGATCAGGGTAGGCAACCTAAGGCTTTTGGACCGGCCCCAGGCCGGTCCTGCTGCCGACCCCGCTGCCGCCCACCATGATGATACTGATTATTGTTGTTATTACTTGTTCTTGGGGTTTTCTTGGCAAAATCTCCACAGGGGTTTTACCATGGCTTTTCTGGGGCTGAGAGAGTGTGCATGCATATATTTTTTTTTAATTTTTTAAAAATTTTATTTATGTATTTATTTATTTTTGGTGCTTCGGCCCCCCAATTGTCTGAGGGACAGCAACCCGGCCCCTGGCTCAAAGAGGTTGCCTACCCCTGGTATAGATGGTACCATATTTGCTGCATTTAAATTCAATCCAGAGCCCTGATGTGGATAGAAAAAGTTCATCCTGCATACCCCCAAATGCTCTTCAATGTATTGACTTAACACAATGGAGCAGAAGCTTAGTTATGCTCCACAAGCAAGCATTAAGGATTAGCTGAGGAAGAAATCCCCTCTGCTTACACTGAAAGGGCTTTGAGTCAATATGCAAAACTTCACAGGCTGCCCCTTGGTCACAAGTAGGGAGAGCCACAGTGGGGCCAATATAAAGAGCAGATGGCATGAGCCACATGGGGTTGCGAGTAATTGTGTTTCCCATACCTCAGTAGCTAAGAGTTGCCATCTTATAAAACAATCTCACTGGCTGGTATGGGAAACTTGACGTATGGGAAACTTGAGTAAGTGGCAGCCCATCATGCAGAAATTAATCACTTAAAGCTTAACAACAGAGAGAGGGGAAGGCGCTCTCTTTCATACTGTAAAACTGTAGGATTTTGATACCACTTTAACTTTCTTGGCTACATCCTAAAGAATCCTGGGCTCTGTAGTTTGTCAAGACACTAGAGCTCTCTGGCCAATAATTCTATATAACCCCACAAATCCCATGTTTCCACAGAAGGGAGCCATGATAGTTAAAGCAGTATTGAAGAGCTATAGTGTATAGTGTGAACATGTGTGGGTGGGTGTATAATTAAAAGAGTGAATGTAACCTGCTAAATTGTTGCATGTCAGGTTGCTGTTATGGTGAGGAGAGTGCATGGGAAAAGAGATAGGAAAACAATGCCTTGACAGTTCTCTACATGGTTCCAGCAAAGCTCCATTGCTTTTCCATGGAAGGTTTAGTCACAAACCATCAGACCCAAAATAGTTAGTCACCTGGTTATTCACACAACCTTCACTCAGATCCTTCTAGTAAGTTTTAATGACTTCCTGATATAATGGCAAAAGGATCACAATTATGAGGAACGTCAGGGTTAAATGAAAACTGAATGAAAGACAAAAATAAATACAAAACTGCTTAGTGGCTGCAGGATGCTAGGATTTCTGCATGACTGCTGTCTGTTACAAGTTTATACAGAACATAAAAAGAAGCCTGTAGCAACTTGTACAATCCCTTTTACAACTCTCCCCTATTTTCCAGATTACAAGGTGAAACAAGCATAAGCATCCCTTCTATAATAAAGACATAGAAGTACAGGAAACCTGCAGAAATTCAAGAGAGAGAGAAATGAATGCAGTGACAGGTCTGCATTTTATTACATGTAGCGCTTTTGGGTTAACGTTCTTCTTTGCAACGACAAGTTCCAGAAAGAAACCTGTCTTTTGAACTGTGTTCTATGAGAAGAGGCAGAATGCAGAAAGCAGAAAGGATGGCCAACGAATCACAAAACCTGCCTACATATCATGTTATTTCTAAGTCAAGGAATTAAGTTACTGGTTGAGGGAGGTGTTAAGTATGCCCTCACAAAGAAGCTAACATATCAAGACATGCTTTTTCATACAGACTGCTTATTATACTTCATGGTGTATACCAGCTTATGTGATATCAGATGTTCAAAAACAGGTACTGCCCTTGGCCTTAGCAGTACGTTTAACAAATATTTCATTTTCAATAAGGGATTTATTCATCCCTGCCCTCGACTACCCTCACACTCCTATGCCAGAGAAATCTTCTGCATAAGCCTATATAAAATAGTAGTGCCACAGAAACCCTTTATTTATGCCTGCAATATTTGTGCCTGAAGCCATAGAAATATACTGCCTTTAGGCTTCAGCTTGCTGTTGGGTCACATGCCAGAGAAATGTGTTGTCATTTTAACAGGCTTATATCTAAAAAAAAAAGTGTTTTCTGTGACTGCTCCCTGAGTATGAAACTCCCTTTCTAAGGTGAGCCCTCCTGGCTTTCCCCTT